TTACCGTGGCCGATTCATGTGGGACATCTAAATGATGAACCGACAACTAAGACATTAGGCTAAAGAATTTGTGAATAAACGAATATTAAGGCATTTTATGCAGCGTAGTGAATTTTAATGCTCGAAGTTCAAATTCTATAATTATCTCTAACATAAATGTAGTTCTTACGAAAATATTTGTCCATGTTGTTATTTTTAGATGTTTTATTAGTTGTAATGTTACCTTCGAAAATGTCCTTATGGCCATGAAGAGATTTCCACCTGCCCTTGTAATGAAGACAATTCTGAGCGCAATTTAAGGCTTCAAAAATAAGACTTTTGTTATTTTTACATTATGCAGTGATATTATACAGACAGAGTCAGCACACGAAATGTCCTCTATTTTTATTCGTATTTAACAAAAATACTGCCGTGATATTCATATTATGTTGCAATCACTCTTTCAAACCCACGTGACGTTTTCAGCAATTATCATGTCACACAAAATTATTCAGGTACAAATAAATACTAACGGCGCACACAGTAGCCACCAGCCTTGAGATTTTTGTCGTTGCGACGCTGAAAAATCCGGGCTTAGAAACCGGGACGTACTTTCTGAACATCGTATCAAGTATGAACTATATGAAAGCGGAATTATAAGTTCCATAAAGTAAAAAAGAAAATCAGATACTTTGGTTGAATTTTAAGCATATTTATAGAAAATAGCTACATACGGCCCCATGCTGTGGACGGAGAGCGATACAAAGTCAGCCTACGAAACGTCGTAATATTTTTTTTGTCTATACAGTGGGTAATTTCGGAAAAAAACAGTACTATACCAACTTTAAAAAGTTTTGAAAACACTGTAATTTGTACGGGTAAAGGTGGCATAATTTGTTCAAGATACTGTCGCCTCGCTACGTCACAGTAATTGATCAAGAGCACAGGAATCGAACCACGTACGTACAGGATACAAGTTCGACACGTCATCGCTTAGCTAGTGTCTTTGGATCGAACCTGGAGAACGTAACTTACTTTTAGGAGCAAACTGCTTCATGCTGGTTTGGGTTTAATTGCGGGAAGGCGTATGACGTCACATGTCTGGGCCCTCAACACGTATTACGCATTAAGGGTAGAGCAGGACGGTGGCCTCATGGGCACGCACAGCCCATTACTAGTGGCCGCAGAGACCTTCGTATGTTTACAGCATTTAGGAGAAGGTGCATGGCTTCAGAAATTATGGAGACTAAAAGGCGCACACATATAACTTTAATAACTGGATGTGGTCTATGATTTTACCCATACACTTGTTTAATGCTGATGGAGGTCAGTTTAGCCTCTTGTTCCCCGGTGTTCGTACTCAACACTAAGACGACGGAAGGAACCCTTAAAAAAAGGTATCTGCTGAAAATATAGCGAACCGATTAAATGTTTGTTGGAAAAACTGCGTTTTTAACGTATTTCTCTCTGCCTTTTACAAAACAGATTTCATCTTTAACTTTAACACTTGAATCCAAATAAGTGTACAGCAGTACAAAAGAGAAACATACATTTTGATAAAAGATTTATTGGGGTTTTTGAATGTCTTGTAAAGGTAAATCAACTTGAGAGTTATAACTGCATGTATACAAGTGTTGTCGATATAATAGGATAGGAACTCTCTAGAATTCAATATAACAACGCTAGCAAATGCGATTATATTACCCTTGAATATCCCTGAGAAAGTGTTGATATATTTCATCACTCCAGTATGAATAAAAAGTCAACATTGAATGTGATGCGTCTGTAAGAAAGTGAACACACACAACCACATCTTCTGCTATGCGCCGCTCTAAATAACTGAAGAGGTAACAGCGATAAATCGCATTACAATCGATTATTCTTCCTTTTCCCTCTGACATGAATGGAGTTAGCAATGTATTTATTTATTTACAACTTAAAACTCTTGCTTTCTTTACACATCTTGGACACAATGCTACGGAAGTACAAGATGAAGGACTATTATTTTCATAACGCGAGTCCATTTTCATTATGACGCAATCGAGTACGTGACATTTGGGCACAAATAATTGCAGAGATGCGTGTTGTCCGGTCTGTAATGCCATTTAACTAAATTACGGGATGTTTCAAGAATGCCGTGCAGGAGAAATGGTTAGACCATGGCTGGGGAATTTTTAGGGCCGTTGACTGTTCATAGAATATATGTAGCCCTCATCTGACTTAAGCGCCTTTGCAAGCTGGTTAGAGTGACCTGCTAAACTGTTGAGTCGAAGAAGTTGCCGCCAAATCGCGGCGTTTATAGATTTTAAGCTTTCGGATTAGTCTTGACGCAGATCTAATTTAGAATTGTGGAGATTTGAAATTTCATCATATCTAAAAACTGATGATTAAAATATACGAAATTTTAATGTTATGTGTTATGCACTGATCTCAGATGCGTTCTTCCACCCAAGAGAACAAGGTGCTAAGGAGAATATTTGAACCTAAAAGATCTTCATCACTGTATTCATTGCCAATAAGGTGAAATCCTTCATATTCTGACTCGCTGTAAGTCTGTAGCTTCTTGACATTTCAGTGTGTCGGTCGATGAGAATGGGACTAGTCAGCGTCCATGATTGATGGATCATAGAGCCGGAGTTTGAAGAAGTGGATCTGTACTTTACGATTACTGAGTTGGAACGGCATTAAACAACGAACTTACTGTTATAGTCTTTCGAGTCTTAGGGTTCTACATGCTTTTTTATTCAAATTCTGCCGTCTATATTTTAAATTTAATGCGCAATTAAAATGTTTCCGTCGTCGTTTCCCGACGCTAAACCGTAATGTGAGTACGTTTGTTAGTACAGTCAGTGCTTATTTGTTGATGTTGACGTTCCATAAGTTACAACCCTCCAGGATAATTACTCCCTTTAACTTATACAAATCTTCTGAACTCCCATAGGAGTTTCCAAAGTTTTCCCATGTGGAAACTTACATGTTCACTTCGAGTGCATTCCAAGCTATTGCCAGTGATATTTGCTATGGTTGTGCTTTGTCTGAGTTGCTTTCTAGTAGTGATGGCTACTGTACTTAATGTAAGTGATTCTCAGACTCTTTAGTCTGAGAATCCCATGATGTGAATTAATTTTGTGAGGACTCCAAGCTACAAAATTGATTTGTGATGCCATTTAGTAATGTCTTAAAAATAATTACTAATGAACCTAATGATAACTCTGAATTCGTTAATTGTACAGTTGTTTAATGTGCCCCTTTGTATGTTAGTTTATACACTACCGTTCCTCCTTAAAAAAAGGTTTCACGTTTTTGTCTGGGACCGCGGATTTCACTTGGAACAGAAGAGTTATGAAATCGCCCTTCGGAATCCTTTTATTGGACATCGATGAAGCTTATTGTTGTTACCTTCATAGCTGACCGAATGATACAGAGTGATTTTATAATTAATTATTTGTGGCAATATTTTATTCATTATATTAACATCTTTTTAAGCAAAGTGGATGTGATATGGTTTACGTAACACGTATTTAGAATTTGAATCTGCTCATATCTTAGGTGTCTATTTCTCATTAAATGTAATAGACTAGTGGCGACAGGTGAGGTGGAACCCGGTACTTTTGTCTAGTGTTTAGCATCAGTATTTGTAAGGTTTATAATTCAATCTGAAACGTACTTGAGTTAAATACAATAAATCAATTGTGTTTGTATAATGACAACCAGTCACCGGAGGTGAGGATTAGCTACAATCATTTGAAACTTGTTGTATATATTTTATTTATATTTTATTCAATTGTGGTTTAGGGAATGATAACAATTACAAAACCCCAGGCAAGGTAACTGGTCTCGGGGCAGTCGTCTAAACCTGGGATCTCCAGAAAATAAAGCAGAAGTGATAATCATAAGATCATCTCTTCCTGTGACATGTTTCAAATGTACTTCTATAGGTTGACACTGTTCAATTAATTTTAGCAGAATGAGCTATTATACAGCGTTTTTCTCTTTTAGCTGAATGTTACTTAGTTAAAAAACCTATATTTGTGTTACTTATAGAAAAATCTAAATTTGTGTTAATTCAGAGAACTCTGGCTTTACCTGAAGAGCTGTAATGTAAATTATATAGCCTTGTATGTTGCTTCTGTTAAACGATCCATGAATATTCTACTGATGTCCTGAGAAACGATTCTCATATTTTAGCTGAACACTTGACTGTTAGTTTAATTAAGGAAGTGCTTGTTGCCTCAGTATTAGAATCTGTTAGACGTCTACACTTTTCTGTCAGAAATTCATGACGGAATTCCTTCCTTTTTGCGGTAGATTAATACTTTTCGCGCGTCCTAACATATAAATTATATATCAGTGTAGTTTAGTTCCTGCAAGGCTTCCTTTCGTAATTGAAAACTTCAGCTTCCTCTAGGTTTCTTGTCTTACTAATGGTTCATGTGCATTTTGTCTCCTTTGTCTTGTCGTTTCGACTTCGTGGAAGTTGATCCGCTGCGACCAGAACTCTGACAAATATTACACTTTTCTCCGCCGTTGAAATGATTATTTTTCCATAGGAACAGACATTTCTGAAGCTTAAGTTACAAAAAGTAACTGTACTCTTTCTCATATCACATTAAGCAAAGAATACAGACCCAAGGTGTTTGAGAACGAAGTGCTGATGAAAAGATTTGGACGTAAGAGAGATGAAGTGATGGAAGTCTGGAGAATATTGCTCTATGAACAGCGTCACACGTCACCAAATATTGTTATCATGATCAATTAGCAGGGCATACAACACTCATTTGGTGATGAGAAGTGCACACAATTTCTTTTTCAGTTGTAAGGAAAGAGACCATTCGGAAGACCTAGGCGCAGATAGGACAATAATATTAAAATTTATATTAGGAAAATGGGGTGGGGGTTTGATTAATCTGACTCATAACGGAGTCTATTAACTGGCTTTTGTGAACGCTATAATAAAATTTTTAGTGCCATAAAAGGCTAAGACTGGTGCTGTGTTAACGATTCTGACTTCTGTTTTACAGGTACTTGGTTTGATTCTCAGCTGGATTTGCGTGTGTCAGGCTCACATTGTGTATCCTCGGACTCTGCGCGCGAATGCTGCGATGGTGCCGATAAATTAGCCGCAGTGCCCCCTGTGCGTTAAAGGTAATTGTAAATTCGTCCATTATTTTCCAAGTGGTCGTAACAGATGTTACGGCACCGTTAATATGACCACTAGCCAATAGTCGTAAGCTGTAGAGGTGTTATTTTTATTGTTCAGTTTAGATTCCGCAAGTCACTAAAATGTCGCTTGCAGAGTCCTCTAGTGGTGTTTTGGGTTAGTGTCGGTTGCAGCGATGAAACAATCGAGATATGAATTTTGTTCATATTTAATTTAATTTATGCTTTCTTTAAAAAAAATGTACAAGGTTAACAAATAATAGGAAGTTCTTTTTTGTTTTCTTTATCTGCGACATTATCTGGTCTGTTTATATGATATTTGGAATTGAATATTAATGGGCAAA